CTAGATACAGTTGCACTGGGTGGGTGACACGTCCTCTTTGGAAGGCTGGTGACCCTGCTCCTTGGAATGAAGGGAGTGATCTCTCCCTGAGGCAGTGTCAACTCCCACGACCAGGCCAGCGCATCCCCAACGGTGATGGAGGACCGGATTCCTCCTGGCACTGGGCCTCACTGACCTGCATGCCCATCACCACATCCGCAATGTCAGGACTCACCAGTGAGGAACTGTCAGGGGAGCCGGTACATGCTGCTTGGGAGGCATGAGAACAACAGCTTTCATCTGGGGAATGTCTACATGGGATGGCATATTTCTTAAGAACCCAAGCTGCTCCAGAGTGAAGCTCCAAGGCTCAAGGCCTGACACCACCACTTTGTAGCTATGTGACCTTGGGCTAGAAATGGGGATGACACCGGTACCCATCTTACAGAGTCTCTGAGAGGATTAGAGCAACTAAGAGAATTCTAGTAATGAAGTGTTAGCCAATCTACATAGATTGCCACACTAAGTGTATTATTACCAAGCATTATGCACATACGGAGCATTTATATGGGTTGGGAACAGTGTTAAGCATTTTGATACCTCGTTTAATACTCATAATGAGGGGTTCATAATTATTCCCATTTTGCAGATCAATAGACCGAGGTTCAGAGAGCTGAACTGACTTATCTGAGGTCATCCAACCACCAAAAGGCAGAATCACACCACAAACCTAGATCTGCCTGCCTTCCAAGTTCTTTTCAACACATTGTCTCTAAAAGGCTGAGAAGTTTCCCAGGTTAGACTGCTTGTTGCATTTACCACTCCCCCACCCCCCACCCCTCCACCCCCACCTTCCTGGCAGGGCACTCCCAGCCCCCTCCCTCCCCTTGGCTAGGAGCTGGCTGGCTGGAATTCACGTCTCCCTGCATTTCAGGAAGCCAGGCTCATTTTGCTTTCTTTGCACAGGATTGGAAACTGTGACAAATTGCAGGGAGGGCATCCCTGGCGGGGGTGGGGCGTCGGATTTAAAGCATTTAAAAATTTTTTTAATTAATTAATTCCTGAGAGACACACACAGAGAGAGAGGCAGAGACACAGGCAGAGGGAGAAGCAGGCTCCATGCAGGGAGCCCAATGGGGGCCTCGATCCTGGGACTCCAGGAACAGGACCTGGGCTGAAGGCAGCACAAAACTGCTGAGCCACCCGGACTGCCCTGGGGCGTCGAGTTTATCAACCGCTTCCTTCTGCTCCCCCGATGTGCCAGCGCCTGCCCCAGCCTGGGATCTGACATCATTAAGCCTTTAGAAAAATTCTCCCGCCCCAGGTCGGAGCTGAGGCACCTGGAGGCCCGCTCGCTGCTCCTGCCGCGCCACCTCGAGGACACTGCGGTCACTACACCGCCAGGCAAGCCTCGCTGCCGGTGAGCAGTGAACAATTCAGACAGCTCCGTAAGGGCAGCGGATAAAGTGCAACCTTCCTCCTCCACCCGGGGGTGCCCTTCGTGGTCTGCTCCCTGATGCTCCAGCTCCCTTCCCCGAGCACCACGCTCACTCACATCACTACACCTTTGCATGCTCCAGTCCCACTGCCGGGCATGCCCTCTCTTGGCTTGCCTACCAAGCAAACTGCTCATCTTTCAATTCTGAGCACAAATACAGCATCTTCCATGGAGTCTTCTTCGACTTCTCAAGTCATATTGAAACACTCTTCCTATGTTCCCATCGAATGTTATATCTTTGAAAAACATTCTTAAAAAGCATTTGGAGAACAAAAACAAAAAAAATATTTTGGTGTCTTGCCTCTATGTCAGTGATCTGCTGTATAAAGGCAGAGATCATGAGTTTAAATCTTTGCCTGGGCTTAGGGGCTGCGACTGGTTGGGCTCCAAATGCATTTTGTTTGCCCTACTGTGTCTTAGGAAATTATGAATACATTGTCAATATTTAAAATTGGAAGTTTCATTTGAAAATCTAGATGTCCAGCTTTCCTTAAAAAATAGGAAGACATGGCATGCTGGACCTGGATTTCTCCAAAGCAACAAACAGCTGGGCCAGATAGTGAGTGCCCCCTTCAGACAGACAAGTACCCTCCAGGCTGCTGTGGTCTCCACCAGTCACCAACTGTGTGCACATGACCTTGGTCCTTGGAGGATGTTAGGTTTGCAAGGAGGTGCTCAACAAACATGCTCACCAAATGCACGGATGGGTGGGTGGACAGATGGGTGGATGGATGGAAAGATGGAAGAGATAGATGAAATCAAGAGGTAGAAAGTGCAGGAAACAGTCTGGGTGGTAGGTAAGGTGGAGTTACAAGACATGCTTGTATTCCTTTGGATTCCCCACCCCAATACAGAACCAGCAGGAAATGGCACAGCTGCTCTAAGGACAAACATATTCTGCTTGACTGGCCTTCAGAAAAAGAATGCATTATGGGAGGGAGTCAGAAGACTTCAAGGTTACGAGGCAAAGTCAGGAAAGGAGTATGGAAGTATAAATCCTTACACAAACATGAACTGTTTTTATTATAACATCACACCCAGGACTGGACTAGTGGTCAGTGCTTCCTTTTGGGATAGAACAATTCTTCATTATGCAGGGATATCCTTCATGTTCCAGGACATTTAGCATCTCTGATCCCTGCCTATTTAATGCTGTTGTGCTCCTTCCCCTCTCCCATTGCAGACTGAATGTTTGTGTCTTCTATAAACTCATATTTTGAAGCCCTAACCTCCAATGTGATAGCATTTGGCGGTGAGGCCTTTGAGAGGTAATTCAGTTTAGATGAGGGTGGGCCCCATGATGGGATTACTGTCCTTACAAGAAGAAAAGAGACCAGAGCTCGCTTTGTAAGTGTGTGTGTTGTGCAGACACAGTGAGAAGGTGACCATCTGTAGGCCAGGGATAGGGTCCTCATCAGGAACTGAGTTGGCTCACACCTTGATCTTGGCCTTTTCATCCTCCAGAACTGTGAGGAATAAATGTCTGTTGTTTAAGTCACCTAGCCCACATTCTGTTACGGAAGCCTGAACTAAGATACCCTCCAAGTCATGACAACCAAAAATGCCTCCACAAATTTCTAAATGACTCCCTATTGAGAACCACTGGTGTAGAAGCAGGATGACCCTGGAGCTTCCATTCTTAGGCCTCATTCATGGAAGACATTGCCAAATGACCACAAAACTCTTCTCTTCAGAGGCATGATGTGGCCTCAGACTCCTTCTCCAAGCAGAACTTCCTGGAGCCTCCACTCACCAGCTTGCACTCAGCAGCCATTTTGGAACAGAGCAATCCAGAGGCCCCATCAACATCTTCAGATGTTGAATCTTCAGAAAGCCTTAAACAGCCTAATTTTTGTGCCTCTTCTTTTCTATCCAGTGGTAGTCTTACTGGTACTAAAATAACTGTGCGCCTCCACATATAGTCTCCTAGAAGCCAACACCTGGTTACCCCACCATCCAATATGGTCCCTGGACACAAATCATTAGCTTTAATCCACTTCTAATCCACTGCCTCCTGCTCTAACCTCTCATCTCCCCTGGACCACAGTTCACATTCCCTCTTTCAGTCATAATCTCTCTTTAGTGATCTCATCAAGTTTTGTGACTTCAAATGCTAGATACATGCTAATGGGTCTGAATCTTAGATTTCTAGCCCAGATGTTCTTCTTTAATCCTAGCTTGGTATAACCTAAGTATAAGGTATAACCTATTCAACTTTTCCACCTGCGTGACTAGGACACCTCTCAAACCCAACACATCCAAAATCTGAGCTCCAGCATCTCCTGTCGCAGCCCTGATTGACACACAATCTTCCCCCATTCTGTCCTTGCAGGTCCTCAAGCAAAAAGTCTTGGAGTCACCTTGACGCTTCAGATTCTCTTGTACCCCTCCTCTCAAACTACCTCTAGAGTCCGTCACTTCCCCAACCTGCACTGCTGCCACCCTGGTCCAAGCCACCATCATATCTTGCCTGAACTTTTGAAAAGCCTCCTGGCTGGTCTCTGCTCTTGGTCTCTGCTCCTGCCCTCAGCCCTGACAACCCATGCTCAGCACAGCAGCCAGAGCCATTCTGATACATTCCCCGCCTTGTGGCTCCTGTTCCACTCCATCCTCCAACTCTCCCCCTCACTCCAGCCCTGGCCACCTCATCACTTCTTGACCCTGCCACTTAGGGTCCTGGGCTTGGAATGACCCCGATATCTGCCTGGCTAGTTCCTTCATTTCTTTGAAGGGTTTGTTCTTTTTTTTTAAATATTTAATTTATTTATTCATGAGAGACACACAGAGAGAGGCAGAGACACAGGCAGAGGGAGAAGCAGGCTCCATGCAGGGAGCCCAACATAGGACTTGATCCCGGGACTCCAGGATCACGCCCTGGGCCAAAGGCAGGTGCTAAACCGCTGAGCCGCCCAGGCTTCCCGAAGGGTTTGTTCAAAGAAAGCTCTCCTGACTGCCCTGATGACCATCCTTCCCAACCCCCCTCACTGTGCTCTCTTGTTTTCCATAATGCTTGTCACCTTCTAAATCATTGCCTGATTTATTTATTATATGTATTGCCTAACACCCCATATCAGAATATAGGCCTCATGACCACAGGGATGTTTCTTTTGCTCATTGCTGTGTCCTTGGCACCTAGAACAGTTCTTGGCACATAGCTGCCCCTCAATAAATATTTGATGAATAAACAACTTGATAAGTTATGCTATTTCAGGTAACCAAACCCAGAGATCTCACTCCAGGTATAGACTCTCAAGACCTCTGTCCTCATGGGTTCAACTTGACCTTGAGAATGTTCCCTAGATAGTAATGGGGCAACAGTGACTGGTCAGCCACCCCAGTGAAGGAGCCATACCTCTGATTCAGAGTCCATTCAGTCTTACTATATGGTCCCTAGAATTTGGAAGCAACATAATGAATGAGGCTTCCTCCTTTCCCCTGCCCCAGGGCTTCTTCCATGAAAGCAGAGAGGGGAACACGTGCTGAACAGGACCTCTGGGATGGAGAAGCCCAGGAATTCTTTTACCTTTCCATCGATGGCCTTTTTGGAGAGGATGTGGCTGAAGACTTGGAGTCCACAGAATCTCTCCTGAAAGAAGAGAAACTGGAGATGAGACTCTTGTAAACTAGCACCAGTACTGATGCTAAAGAGCTCAGAGGCTGGAGAGAAAGCTTCTGGAAGTCAGGCATGCTGGGCTGAGGATGATGGAGCCCACCTGGACCACAGCTGCAGGTGGGTGATGCTCCAGGTAGCATGGGCTAGTCACCTGCACGTACCCTCCATCAGATGAAGCAATCAAGGGAAGGAAGCCTAATACATACTATATACATTACATGAGCTATGCCATGTTTTACTAATTTTTAAAAAAAGATTTTATTTATTTATTCATGAGAGAGAGAGAGAGAGAGAGAGAGAGAGAGACCAAGACATAGGCAGAGGAGAAGCAGGCTCCCTGCAAGGAGCCCAATGCAAAACTCGATCCTGAACCTCAGGATCATGCCCAAAGCTGAAGGCGGATGCTCAGCTGCTCAGCCCCCTAGGTGTCCCACTAATTTTCTTTTATTGTAAAGATTTTTTTTTTATTTTTAAGTAACCTCTATACCCAAACTGGGACTTGAACTTGCAACCCCCAGGTCAAGAGTTACATGCTCTACTGACTGAGCCAGCCAGGCACCCCGCCCCCTTTACTTTGTATTACTAACTATTTTATCTAATGCTCAGCAGGCTCCCCTCCTCCTTGCTCTCAGGCAGGCCTTTGCTAGCAGGAGTCCACAGAGATTGGCATTCCTGGGACTGCCTATTCTCACAAGGAGCCAAGGAGCTTGAGATCAGTTTTAGCCTCCCCTTACAGGCACCTTACTTAGGAGAAGCAGAGAGAAGCACATAGGCCTTGGAGATACTAGAGCCGTGATAAAATGGCAAGTGAAATAGGGCACAAAATTAGATGTATACGGTTTCTAAAGTCACACAAGAAAACCAACGCCCAGGAGGGAAAAAAAGATGCAAAGAGAATAAAACCGGGGAGCCTGGCCGGTTTAGCGGCTATAGCATACAACTCTTGATCTCGGGTTGTAAGTTGGAGCCTCTATTGGGTGTAGAGATTGCTTAAAAAAATAAAATAAAAATCTTAAAAAGAGAGAAAGAAAGAAAGAAGAAAGAAAGAAAGAAAGAAGAAAGAAAGAAAGAAAGAAAGAAAGAGAAAGAAAGAAAGAAAGAAAGAAAGAAAGAAAGAAAGAAGAAAGAAAGAAAGAAAGAAAGAAAGAAATACACACACCCATGGTTACATTAGGGTATGGGATCAGAGGTGAAAATTTGTTTCTATTCTCCAAAATGCATGTAGCTACATTCTCTCTCTCTCTTTTTTAACGATTTTGAATTTATTTATTCATGAGAGATGCAGAGAGGGAAGCAGAGACACAGGCAGAGGGAGAAGCAGGCTCCATGCACCGGGAGCCAGACGTGGAATTCGATCCTGGGTCTCCAGGATCGTGCCCTGGGCCAAAGGCAGGCACCAAACCGCTGCGCCACCCAGGGATCCCACTACATTCTTTTTATGATAAAATTAATCTGTCTGTAAATTGTTGGTTTTTTTTTAGATTTTATTTATTTATTCATGAGAGACACAGAGAGAGAGGCAGAGACATAGCAGAGGGAGAAGCAGGCTCCCCATGGGAACCCAATATGGGACTCAATCACAGGACCCCAGGATCACGACCCGAACCAAAGCCAGATGCTCAACCATTGAGCCACCCAGGTAGCCAATCAGTCTGTAAATTGTAACCATCACTCCCCATTTCATTCACTCAAGCTTCTTGCCTTCCTTCCTTCCTTTCTTTTTTTTTTTTTTTAAGTAATCTTTACACCCAACGTGGGACTGGACTCATGACCCTGAGATCAAGAGTTGCATGTTCCAGGGGATGAGCCAGCTAACTGCTGCCCCCGCCCCCGCCCAGGCTTCCTTGTAAGCCCGGTGCAGCACCCCCTCCAACATACTACATCACTGCCTTACCGATCATGTGTTTTGTCTGACCAGCTCCCACTGTAAATTCTGCAAGCACAGAGCTCGGCGGTGGGGCTTGTTCACCAGGCGGACACTGTCGCTGCAGAGCCCACATCCCCTTGGGCACTCTCTCCCCAGTGCACTGGGACCCATCGGCTCCACGAGAGGAGCTCCCCTGGCCTGTGCCCCAGGGAGTCCTCCGTGCCAGCCGGTGCCAGAGGCCTGGTGGGCTGGAAAGGCCCTGGAGCTAATGACCCTGGGAGCGGCCTTCAACCCACACACAGGAATTGGTGGATAAATACCACAGTGTCCTCAGCCCTCCTGGGGGTGAACCCGAGGTGTGTCCTCCACTGTCACCCAGAGTTCCCCAGCAGGACTGAAGCCTGGCTGCCCAGCAGCAGCAGCCCACTAACACACCCTGGGCTGGCTCCCTTCGCTTCCCCGTCTTACTCCCTCACTCCTCTCTCTGCATTTCTTGAAATCGCTTCCCAGGTAAACTTCTTGCGCTTGAATCTGCGTCTCAGGGTCTGCTTCTGCAGAATCCAATCTAATATATTCACTGGCTTATTCCAAGCAAATACAAGAATGCCTTGCACAAAGTAGGTGCCATTTAAATATTTGTTGCCGGGCAGCCCCGGTGGTGCAGCGGTTTAGCGCCGCCTACAGCCCAGGGCGTGATCCTGGAGACCCTGGATCGAGTCCCAGGTCAGGCTCTCTGCATGGAGCCTGCTTCTCCCTCTGCCTGTGTCTCTGCCTCTCTGTGTCTCTATGAATAAATAAATAAAATCTTAAAAAAAATATTTGTTGCCAAACGCTGCAGAGCCCAACAATACAGAAATATAAAAACTAAAAAAGTGGGTAAACGAAGCTCCCCAGTGGCAACTGTTGTTTGAGGTTATTCCTTCCAGTTCCTTTCCCTTGGGCATACAAGCATATATAACAGGTATTCTAGAAAGGGAGATAGTGGCATGAGATGCAATCCCAGTCCTGCCCCCGGGGCAGGTCTTCTCTGAGTATGGGTTCCCTTCCCTGTCAAAGGGGAAGAAAGTCACCTGGGGGTGGCTGGGAAGAAGACATTCCTGTCCCTCCAGCAGTTTTGAGAACATAGAAGTTTTCCACGCTCTGTGGAAAACTAGTCCTAGCTAGGCACCTGATTTCTGGTTTTCTGGATTGTGCAATGTTCCCGCACGGATTTCCAGCTGCCACCTCATCCTCCAGGTGGCGTGGGAGACAGTGGGTGAGGCAGCTTCAGGGGCTGGCCCTGATTATCCCATGGACCAGACTCGTTTGGCTCCAGATCTTCACCCCAGCTTCAACACAGAAGGGAGGCAGCAAAGAGGGAGAGGGGAAGAGAGAGGGCATCTTCACATGCCCCTCCAATCCCTCACTGGATCCTGGGGCTTCCCCTGCAGGATTCCTCCCCGAATGCCCCATGGGGATGGACAGGTGCAGGCCAGAGTGGGAAGCTGGAATTCTTTTTTTTTTTTTAAGATTTTATTTATTTGAGAGAGAGAGAGAGAGAGTGCATGAGCGGCAGGAGGGGCAGAGGGAGATCGAGAAAATGATTCTCCACTAAGCAGGGACCCCTATCATAATCTGAGCTGAAGGCAGATGCTCAACCGACTGAGCCACTCAGGTGCCCCAGGAAGCTGGAATTCTTGCAATGGAAGAAAGAAGGGAAAACATGAGCCTCAACCACTGAGACTCATCATTTTCTGGCCCTTCTTCATTGCTTCCCTTTTTAGAGCAAACTAGAAAGATTCTGCAGTTATTGCAAATGATCATTATGAAAAGGATTTAGGAACAAGAAAAAAATGCTTAGAATACAACAGGAAGATAAACAGGGACATAATTGTACCCTCTGCCTATAGGAATAGAAAAATTATGTATATGAGTAGATCAGGACTGGGAGAGAAGAGCACATCCAAAAGCTATTTCATCGTTGGAAGTGGCACACTGTGGACAAAAGTTTTTTTTTCATTTTTATTTTTTTAAGATTTTATTTTTAAGTAATCTCTACACCCAACGTGGGGCTTGAACTCAAAACCCCGAGACCAAGAGTCACATGCTCCACCAACTGAACCAGGCAGGTGGCCCTTATTTTTATTTTAAATGTCACTAATAAGGTTAGTATTTATATAATAAATAATGGTAGTAGTTCACCGGGGGCACCTGGGTGGCTCAGTGGTTGAGCATCTCCCTTTGGCTCAGGTCGTGATCCCAGGGTTCTGGGACCGAGTCCCGCATCGGGCTCCCTGCAGGGAGCCTGCTTCTCCCTGTCCTTGTCTCTGCTTCTCTCTCTGTGTCTCTCATGAATAAATACATAAAATATTTTTTTTTTAAAGAAAAGTTCACCAATATAGTTGAAATCAGACCCCTGCCAACTTAATTTTCCCTACAAGGTGGAGAGACAACCTCCTCACTCTCTTCTTAGTCTCAGTGAGAGCTTCATTTCATAGTGAAAAGTAAACTAGCATTAACAATATAATGTCCCAGGAGAACGGTCAAGACGTTGTTAAATGTAGGGGCACCTGGGTGGCTCAGGCAGTTAAGGATCCAACTCTTGATTTCGGCTCAGGTCATGATCTCAAGGTCATGAAATTGAGCCCTTGGTCGGGCTCCTTGCTGGGTGCGGAGCCTGTTTAAGATTCTCTCTCCCCCTACCCGTCAGACCTGTCTTAAAAAAAAAAAAAGACAAGAAAGGTACACATCAAAATATTAACAGTGGTTATTTCCTTTTGTGTTTGAGTTTCTTTCTTTTTTTTTTAAGATTTTATTTATTTATTCATGAGAGACAGAGAGAGAGAGAGAGGCAGAGATACAGGCAGAGGGAAAGCAGGCTCCATGCACCGGGAGCCTCATGTGGGACTCGATCCCGGGACTCCAGGATCACACCCTGGGCCAAAGGCAGGCGCCAAACCGCTGAGCCATCCAGGGATCCCCTGTGTTTGAGTTTCTAAACTTTTTACAGTAAACATGCCTTACTGTTGATATAAATATATGCATGCAGAAAAGTTATAAAATAATATAGAGAGTCTAATTCCATGTTATGGACACAATAAGTATTTTATGGGTAGTGTGATGCATG